AACCCTTACTAAGTAGAATTCTCCTTTCTGTGTTGCCGGAAAAGGGGACCGGAAGTATTTTTGCGCAGAACTTCTTTCTGCGTAGGCGGCCTTCGGACGCGCTTGGGGATTATAACCCTTACTAAGTAGAATTCTCCTTTCTGTGTTGCCGAAAAAGGGGACCGGAAGTATTTTTGCGCAGAACTTCTTTCTGCGTAGGCGGCCTTCGGCCGCACTTAGGGATTATAACCCTTACTAAGTAGAATTCTCCTTTCTGTGTTGCCGGAAAAGGGGGCCGGAAGTATTTTTGCGCAGAACTTCTTTCTGCGTAGGCGGCCTTCGGCCGCGCTTAGGGATTATAACCCTTACTAAGTAGAATTCTCCTTTCTGTGTTGTCGGAAAAGAAGGGCGGAAGTATTTTTGCGCAGAGCTTCTCTCTGCGTAGGCGGCCTTCGGCCGCGATTAGGGATTATAACCCTTACTAAGTAGAATTCTCCTTTCTGTGTTGCCGGAAAAGGGGGCCGGAAGTACTTTTGCGCAGAACTTCTTTCTGCGTAGGCGGCCTTCGGCCGCGCTTAGGGATTATAACCCTTACTAAGTAGAATTCTCCTTTCTGTATTGCCGGAAAAGAAGGGCGGACGTATTTTTGCGCAGAACTTTTCTCTGCGTAGGCGGCTTTCAGCCGCGCTTAGGGATTAAAACCCTTACTAAGTAGAAGTAAATAATTCATATTAGAAAAAACGAAATTATCCATATGCACACTTTCGTTAGAAAACCGAAATAATGCATATAACAAAAACCAAAATAATGCATGCATGCACAATTTCAGTTCAAAACCGAAATAATGCATATGGCAAAAACCGAAATAAAGCATACATGCACAGTTTCGGATGAAAACCGAAATAATGCATATGTAAAAGACGAAGGTATGCATACATGCACAGTTTCGGTTGAAAACCGAAATAATGCATATAACAAAAACCGAAATAATGCATGCATGCACAGTTTCGGTTGAAAACCGAAATAATGCATATGAAAAACCCGAAGTAATGCATACATGCACAGTTTCGGTTGAAAACCGAAATAATGCATATGAGAAAATACCGAAATTATGCATATGTATACTTTCGTTTTAAAAGCGAAATAATGCATATGAAAAAAAAACGAAGTAATGCATACATGCACAGTTTCGGTTTAAAACCGAAATAATCCATATGGTAAAAACCGAAATAATGTCTAAATGCACAGTTTCCATATGCGCAATTTCGGTGC